CGGTCTAGAGCACATACCTGGGTTGCAGGTTTGATCCCCAGTACAGGAAGCAACCAATCAATGCGTCTTTCTAACATCAACGTTTCTCTCTTTCTTCCCCTCTTCTCCTTCCCTTCCTCCCTCCCTTCCACTCTCTGTAAAAAATAATTTAAAAATCAATGGAAAAAATATCTTCAGGTGAGAATTAACCAAAAAAAAATCTCCTGTAACTCCAAAACATATGTGATATTAATGGAATAAGTTAGAAAACTATTCACACACACAAGATATGGTAGAAAAAAAATAAATATTTATTGAAGATTTAGGTAATATAAAAAAACTAAGATCTGTATGGGTGGGTTGGGAATATAAGTAAAGATTCGTGAAAAGGTATTTGCAAATGTGCCAGACCTGAAACTAGACTGAAGTATAATTTCAAAACACTCTCTTGTCTGATGAGTCAAAGGCAACTGAAAGTGATGCTTTTGCAGAGGTAACTTAGCAGTGTTGGAAGGTGGTATCAGAGTTGACATGGAGTCCTAGCTTCTCTATTCACCAGTTATGTGACTTCAGCTTTATATTGTTCTTCATAAACAGACACTAAGTTAACTTCAGTCACTGTGAAGAGAGTACTTTAAATATTTTGGTCTTTCAATGATGCTAAAACATTTGGTCTTTCTTTCCAGTTTCATTCTAAATTAAAAGATTTAATCCATGAACCATCAGTACATGGCAGGATCAATTTATTTATTGTGAGGGTGGTCGTCTTTGTTTTGTCAAATTGTCACTTGAGATTTTGAAAGAGTTTTTTGAATAGAGTGTTGGTAATACTTGACAGAATGTCTGATGGTGATTAGATCAGTCAGCAGATATAATTGTTGATAAGCCAGAGAAGTGCACCCCAGTTCCCTCATCTTAAAGAGACTGAGGAAGCAGATAAAATGCAAAGCTATATTTCAGTTAGTGTTTCATGAATCCCACTTTTCCAACCATTATTTACTACGACAGCACTAACATAATCTTCTTCCATATATATCCTATGTATTCATTTTCTTTATTGGAATGGAATATATGTTACTTGAAATGTGATACTTGTGTGTGCATGTGTATGTATGTAGATAGATAGATAGATAGATAGATAGATAGATAGATATTTAATGCTTCTATCCTTAAAGGTTCATTGAAAATTGGTGTTATCTGAAATGAGAATGTGTAATTTGCATATGTAAGATTCTCCAAATCTATAATTCATATTTTATTATGTGAAATAGCATAGACTCTCTTTCCCATATGTGTGTATCAATTAAGAATGTTTTCAATGACAAGTAAGAGAAACCCTAAGGCCTACTGGAGAAATAATTGGTTTTGTCCTCAACCGACAAGTATTCTGGATGGCGGCATTTGCTGACTTCCCTTCAATGGTTCTGTGAAGCCACCAAGGACCCATCTTGTATCTGTTCACATTATTGCCCACCACTACCCTTAGAGAGTTGGCTTTCACCTGATGTTTGCCACCTCATGGCCACCCAGGCGCTACAACACTTTTGAACATCACATCAGTGTTAAGAACAAGAAAGAAAGTGAATAAGAATAAGTAGCATCACCTACATCTCTTCCTTTTTATCAAGCTAAGATAAAGGACTCAATAATGAGAAGTGTCTCATTCTTCTGAACTCAGTCCCGTGACAATCCCAGCAGGAGGGGACCCAGGGCAGTAAAGTGGCTAGTCTTTACCTTCTGTAGTGTTTATAGCAGGATATAATCAAGAAAAGAAGGTTGCAAATAGCTTTTGATTCAGATAACCAAAAATGTCTACCACACGGCTTGATACTAAAGACGTATTAATCCTAAAGAAAATGCATAGATAATACCCTCTGTGATTTTTATGGGATCATCATAGTCCCTGAGGATTTACACACGTACACACAACACACATTTAATCAGTCCCTTTGAGTTTAGGCAGCAAATACTTCATCTATCTTCCTATATTTTACTCATTTACCTTCGGAAGTGAAAAATATTTAATCCATGGAGATCTGAAACAATAGATGGCAAAGACTTGCAAGTGGAACAAATGGATTATTTTTTCCATGACGTGCTGGTTGTGAAAAACTAAAGAAAAAATATTTCTATTATATCTGCCACGTTGAAAAGACTTGACACATCTTGCAGTTCAATTGAAAGTCATGAAAAAATAATACCTAGCAGAAAGGAGGTTTATGGGAAATAAATGAAGGCCTGTGGTTAGAGGTTGCAGAATGTGTTTCTGACAGACATGTGTGTCATTGCAGTAGATTTTTTTTCCTTTTATCGCTACTGACATTTCTGAGTCCTTATATCTGCTTTTTAAGGCGAACATGTTGTTCATTTCTGCATTGTTTTTCCTCAGACACAAAAATATGAATGTGAGATATGTGGTTGTCAACCAAAAATGGGTAACGGAGTGAAATCAAACAGCTGCAGTCCGTTACTTACGTCATGATAAAAGGAAGGGAATGTTTGGGAATTAGATGCATATTTGGACAATCATAGGTTTGTGACTTGCACAATTAGAGTTTATTTTTGGCAGTTTACGTCAGGAAGCATTTCAGCAAAATAACTAACCTACTTTGTCTCTTGGAAAACTACTCACTGAAAGTTAAATGATGTTTGAACATTTTCTTGATATTGGCAAATATTAGCTGGTTTTCATTTGCACAACCTAAAACATGTGCTTTGATATTAACTGAATGATGCAGTCCTAATAAAATGAGGCAGTTTTTTTAATTATAATAAGCCTTTAAATCTTTTTATTTGTTTGTTGGTTTTTAATCCTCACCCAAGGATATTACAGAGAGTGGAAGAGAGGGAAAGACAGGGAGAAACATTGATGTGAGAGAAACACATCGATCGGTTGCCTCCTGCACACGCCCTGACCAGGGCCCAGGCAAAGAGCCTGCAACTGAAGTACGTGCCCTTTGACTGGAGTCGAACCTGGGACCCTTTGGTCCGCAGGCCGATGCTCTATCCACTGAGCCAACCCGGCTAGGGCTAAATGAGGCAGTTTTACGGGACACAATTCACATGCCACCCTTGATCCAATTGGGTTTTGCTTGCCTCATGCATCCCTCTCTTCCCATAGGACCTCATTCATTCTTTCTGGCGAAGTACATGCCCTTTGACTCGAGTCGAACCTGGGATCCTTTGGTCCGCAGGCCGATGCTCTATCCACTGAGCCAACCCGGCTAGGGCTAAATGAGGCAGTTTTACGGGACACAATTCACATGCCACCCTTGATCCAATTGGGTTTTGCTTGCCTCATGCATCCCTCTCTTCCCATAGGACCTCATTCATTCTTTCTGGCCAGTTCTTCATGTTACCCAGTCTCAAAGCTACAGAAACTGTGCAAAAAGCTTAATTCCACCAAGTATTCAATACAGACTTTTTGTTTGGTTGGTAACACATGTTTAGGGACCTGCTCTTTCTGTCTGCATCTCTACACTATCCTCATTGTAGCTGATGACACCTGTAGTTTTAGCTATTTCCTTAGCTGATTCCTCACCAGACCAAAACAGTTTTGAAGTGATTATTGCAATATAAGGGAGACATGTTTTTTCCCTTGCTGAAATCACATAAATCTCATTTTTTTCTTTTATATTTTAAAAGCAAAATATCTTGCCAATAAGTCTGGTCTTATGATGGGCCATTTGATGATTCTCCAACTTTGTGCACCGTATTCGTTAATTTCCCATGATCCACAACTTTAAAAGGAAAAAATAAAATAATTCCATTAAACAACTTATAAATGAAAATAGTCTTCATTAATCTGATATAAGATTTTACCATACAGAATTAGCATTTTGTGTTTCTCTTAGGAAAGCAATGAAAAATTATAATTAGTTTTAACTAATACAAATTCTGAACAATGACTGGGTGGCCTAAGGTCCTTTATCTAAGTCTCATATTCATTTTCATTCAGTTTTTGGAGCATTTTACATAACTTAGAACAGAAGGAATTCTTGTTTTGAGCACTTATTTTAAATTCTAATAAAATGTCACTAAATTGTCTGAAAGTCAGTGTTATGCTTTATGTGGGATTCTGAGTAAAAATATTTTGACACATTTTCTTATCCTTTAGCGTTTAAATACTCCATCCACCCTGTTCTCAAGTGTTAAAGCAAATTGGAAATACTATGATTTCAAAGTGAAAATATAAACTACAGAATATTACTCTTTTGTTCTTGGTAGGTAATTATTACTAAATTGTCTGAAAGTCAATGTTATGCTTTATGTGGGATTCTGAGTAAAAATATTTTGACACATTTTCTTATCCTTTAGCGTTTAAATACTCCATTTCCCCTGTTCTCAAGTGTTAAAGCAAATTGGAAATACTATGATTTCAAAGTGAAAATATAAACTACAGAATATTACTCTTTTGTTCTTGGTAGGTAATTATTTTTTTTTTTAAATATATTTTATTGATTTTTTACAGAGAGGAAGGGAGAGGGATAGAGAGTTAGAAACATTGATGAGAGAGAAACATCGATCAGCCGCCTCCTGCACATCCCCCACTGGGGATGTGCCCGCAACCCAGGTACATGCCCTTGACCGGAATCGAACCTGGGACCTTTCAGTCCGCAGGCCAACGCTCTATCCACTGAGCCAAACCGGTTTCGGCGGTAGGTAATTATTTAACAGTGTGTGGAAGCATAGGCATTTGGTTTTTCATAAACAATAACAAAAAATTAGATGGAAAGCTTTTTCAAAATCAACAAAGCCTCCTTTTTCTTTTTTGTATGACTTACTGCACAAATGATGTTTGCTTCTCTCAAGTGGTATCATAATATTCATTAACATTTTTCATATAAATTTTGAAAAAATTTTGATAGTAAAAATTCTTTTCCTTTGATAATTGCTGTTTTAGATGCATGACTTAATTGTGTCAATGTATATTTACTCACTAAATATTGATTCTCAGAAAATTTAGGCAATCTTGTGTCACCTTTGTTGTTCTTACTTTTACTATTTATTTATCATTGCAGATTAAAAAAATCAACAGAAACTTTCCTGTTAACCAGCAGGTAAGATGGAGAAATATTTTAAAAGTCAAATTATATATTTCTTTCATTGTTTTTATTATAGAAGATAATCTGGATTAAATTTAATTTTATGTGGAAATAATTGTACCATTATTAACTATATTCAGGAAAATAAATAGTTTATTAGATTTCTTTCATGTTATGTGATATTTTATCTAATCACATTAAAAGCAGTCTGTAATACTATCGACAATAAAAAGTATATTAAAAAACTTTTCAAGTAAACTAAGTGTACACTATTTTTTAAACAAATTATATTATTTAAATACAATGTCAAAGAACATGGAGAACAATTTACATGAAATAGTTTTACTGTATCAACATTTAGGAGTACTTTACATAAATAATCTAAATGTTAAAGAGGATTTTCACAATTTGCTGACTGTATTTTAAATGAGTCTAAATTAATGCATACAATAAAAATAATGTCTGATTAATCAAGCAAATAATTTAGTTGACTTATAAGACTAATAATTGGTTATAGGACAAAATAAGTTGATTATAGAAAATAATAACGGATTCCCTGTACCATTTTATTATGCTAGAATTAAGCTTTGTATTACTTTCATAAACATACTAAAAACATTAATTCAAGTAAGAAAAGTAAGTGAAAGCTCAGTGTTTTGGCTCATGTCATTGGTATATCAAGTTTGAGCTCATGTCTTCTGCGTGCACTCTTCCTTCCTCGCCAAGTTGTGTTGTCTTAGTAACTGGGTTCCAGGTTCTAATTCCTCCCCCTCTTCCCGCCATGGTCCCGGTTCCTGACCACCTAGCTTCCTTCTGTCTCCTCACCTCTGCCTAATTCTCCTCCTCCAGATAGAGATGTGGGGAACTCTCCGTCTGTTAAGCCTGTTCCCAAATGTTCCCTCTGTGAGACCTGACACAGTCTCATCTAGAATATCAGACCCTGTGCAATACTCTGTATCTCCCCTTCCCTGTGCTCTTTAAAAAAACCCAACCTGTTTTCTTGGGACCGCTTATTCTTTCTTATAGCCTATATTCTACTTCTTTCTTTTGAAATGCACAGTCACTCAAAGTGGAGTCTAAATTACATTATTGCGTTGTATTTAATTCACGGCTATATCCCCAATGAGTATAACATTAGGGATATAGCAGTCCCGATGTCATCCTGTCTATGGGAGAAGGAAAAATGTTCAGGTTACCAGTCATCTGGAAATGTCGCCTTTATATGCAGAGAGCTGGGATGCCATTATATCTGAGAGAGCTCTCTGCCGAGCAACAACCGAAATCTTTAGTGTTACTTTTTAATTGTGAGTCAGGATGGCCTAGGGCCATTTTATTTGTCAGAGTAATGCATCTCAGAGGAACAGTGTTTTCCAGAGAGCACCGACCCATGTTGCTGGACAATAGCCATCCTGCTTCCTGTGAACTCACTTGGCCCCTGCCGCCAAGTCGACCTGCTTTTATGCGCTGCCCGTGGTGCCTCTTCTTTCTCTCCTGATTGCCAGTCTCCAGAATCCCCTGGCACAGTCCCAAGCTGCTTCGTTTCCACGTCTTGAGAGAAAGCCTTTAGGGCCAAGCCTCGGTGGTGACCAATCAGAGTGATGGCCGCGGTCCCCCTGCGGAGGGCTTTGTGCTGCTGCAGTGGCTGGCTCAGCAGTGGTTTCAGGGAAGCAGCTGGCAGGAGGGGAAGGAGAGGCTTTCTCCAGCTGAACACACATGACAATAGGCTCAGCCATTAACGCACCACCACATGCCCTCTACCCACGGTGAAGAGCGCTTTCTGCTTGTTTCAGAGCACCAGGGTACGTTCAGCTCACTGTGTAACTTCTCTTCCATGTTTAGCTCTCCTTTCAATTCACTTTAGTGTGATTTCTCTTAGAGAAGCATTAACAAAGCAAAAGTCTTGTAACCGCCCGCCTTCCCCTCAAAAAAAAAAAATCACCTGATGAAACATTTGATCAAATAGTGGGTGACTGACATTACAGCACCATGGGTTCGGGCAGAGAGGAAATGTCCCCCGAAAGGACTGAAGGTTTGATTGCTTTACCCAGGAAAAGGAAGCAGGCTGGCCTGCTGGGTTGAGAGGGAGGGTGAACTTGATGCCAAGTAATGTCAGTAATGTCGAAGGGAAGGCTGCAGTGAGACATAGTCTGGGCTGTTACTTGAGCTGAATGGCCCCACCTTGTGGGAGTGGTGTCGACCGAAAGCAAAGAACAATGGAAGGAGAAAAAGGAATGCATTCACATTAGAAAGTGGGTGAGCCGATCCCCAGTAAGGCTTCTCAGACTCCAGGAGGTAATGGAGCGGATACTGTGGGAAAACTCCTGCGAGGTACCCTGTGGTAGCAGGGACCACCTAGTGTCACCGACAGATGTGTAGAGGCATGGTTTTGTCAGAAACCTTCTGGGAGCTTTATCAAAAGCAGAGGGATTTGTTAGATGCTGTTGAGGTCGCTGTATAAAAGAATAAGAGGCCAGGTGGAACATAAAGATGATGGTGATTTGGGGGATATCATATCTCCTCTCCCTTAATTTAGGGACTTGAGATTAATTCTGAAATTCTGCAAGGTGAGGAGTGCTATGAGATGACAGTACCACTAAACCAGAACTCCTTGGTAAATATATATATATAT